CGATTGTAAGTGGGAATTATTCTTTATCTCACCTTTCATTCGAACAAACATTCGAATTGGCAATCGTGAGGATATAAAAAAAAACGAGACTCATAAATCGCGAAAGATATTTTTGTCTTGTAGACGTTATTTTATAATTTATTGACAAAGAAAGGAAAAGTCAAATTGTATGTAAGTGCTATAAGCGATATATGGGTGACATTGTATAAATATTACCAACATGCACGAGATGCAGCGGATCGAATCCCACATCAAACATCTTTCATATATCATTATAGATTTTACTCTTACTCTGTCTCTTTGATATCTTGCCGCATTTATAGTTGTACGAAATGTCGAGTGGCGAGTAGTTATCGCAACGTTATGTTAATACGTAAGCAAAGAAAAGATGTAAGTATTTGATTATCGAAAAAATTCAGTCAGGCGAGTTCCGAATCAAACTGAAAAGTTAAATTTTTATATTAATGTAAAAAAATGTATTTTTCTGCATCTTTAGTATTTTCTCGAGTAGATATTAAATTATATAGATAGTAATGAAATATATATTCTATTATTTATCTATATATGTACATATAATCTATGTGTAAGACCATATGTTGCAATAGAGATCTTTTACCTCTGTGGATCAGTTTATTTCATTTTTAAGATTAGTGCATTCATGTCGTACGATAATTAATAAAGAAAAAAAGATTCAGATAACAATGCAACGTCTCACGGCGTAATAAATTATCATATAACAGCTTCTCCGTAATCTTTATTAATACAAAATTAAAATAGGAAAAATGCCGATGTTTTTTTGAATTTTTAATATCGTGTAATGTGCATCGAATGTAAAGACAATTAAAAAAACATGGTATTATAAGTTCTTCTCTTATATATCACAATTATGGAATTTCATGTACAAACTTTTACGCGCGCATCATTGGTCAATTTGAGATAAATTCCATCTTTGGGATTTTTTTCTTTTTTTCATTCTTTTTAGGAAAAACATACAAACATGGTTAAATATATTTTAGATAGCTAAGACGCATCAATCGGCTGGGATTGGTAAAGTGGAAAAATACTCCTGCGCTTTTCTCGCGGCGGAGTATTCAACATTGTATACAGGATGTATGACTTCCACTTTATTCGTTAGCCTCCTTCCAATGATGGTTTCTACTGGCGAATTTTGTGCAATTGATAATCCACTGAGGACATAACACGTATGGTATATATCACGATTTCTGAAAAAGAAAAAAGAAGAGCTTGCAATACGATTAACGTGACTAAATGACTTTTTTGTTGACAAGATTACATTTATGACAATCGCAGACACAAAGGAGCGCAATTACGTACTTTCCTGGTTTATCCAGAAGACCACCGTGCGGATTCTGACAGCAAGTTAATATATACTCTTGTAAGGCCTCTTGGTTGAACAGCCAGTGGTCGGAACCATTATATTCCTTTCCTTGCGTTGATAAGACAGCGGCGATCAATGGGAACGTTCCCCCTTGCCAGAATGAATAACATCCGTCCACCAATTTATTCGTACGTCCCTCGAAACCGCCCTCAAGACGCATCTGTTTATTCACTATCCATCTCTGCATTCAAGAATGTGAATATTCAAGAATATTAATGCGGGGATGCTACAATTATAGGAGAGATCTTTTATCTTACCAGTAGCTCCGGCAAATGGCAAAGCTCTGTTTTTCCGAGCATTACAAGTGCTGCCAAAGCGCAAAACGCGTATCCACCATGAGCCTCCATCCCTGGACAACCGCCGAAGCCACCTTCCCACGTTTGACACTTAGCTATCCATTCGGCGGTGCCTTTGAACATATCCGGTGTGTACACGTTTGTCAACTTGGCAGTGGCGAGAGCGCAGTACGCTCCACGCATATCTACTTCGCCGTCCTTGTGCATGCAGAAAGAACCATCCTCTCCGCGTAAGGACGACAGAAACCGTTTCAAATTTTTCCTGAAATCATCATAATCTTATAGCGTTCTCTTTTATCAAAAACATCAACAATAAAGAATAATTTTAATATATTTTTTAAATACACTTGGATAAATATGACTTGTGAGATATCATTCAAGATATATATTACCTATCTATCACGTTGTATGCTTCTTGTGTACCAATGGTGCACAGTGCATTCACTGCAGCATACGTAGAAGCCAAATGAGGATATTGTCCTGGACCTCCTCCAAAACCACCAAGTGGTGATTGACATTTCGCTAAGAAGCCTGCTATCTTAGAGTACTCTTCATCTTCTAAGCGTTCTCCTAATATTGCAAGTGAATGCAATATCCAGAAACATAGCCATGGCCTACTCGAGTCCAAACACTAATATCATTAGAAACACTCGATGAGTTCCTTGTTACAAGTAAGAATTAATAGTTTAAATCCTCTTTCCTAACATATCGCATGATGTTAAAAGTGATAAAAGATACCTCGTAAGTTTCTTTTAAATGAGTAATTGCTTTCTTTAGGAATTGAACATGCTTTGGCCTAAGTAAAACAGGATCTCCATCTCTGCACGACCGATAAAATTTGAGTACGATCTCTTCAACACGGGCCTAAAAAAATTAATCGGAATGAATAAAAAAAATTATGACATTAAACAGCGACATTAAAAAATAAATTATGAATGTATAAGCTGTTTGATAACACATGCATATGTTACATTTTTTTTTTACATCTTCATTTGCAGACTTACTTGCTCATTTGTGGTTTCGGTTTTATATCCTCCTTCATCTTGTCGCTGTTTTAATATTTCCTCATAACTCCTTCGTCCTACCTGCAATCCCAATTCTTCCGACATAATCTGTTAACAATAACAATAATGATCTCTCATAGTCTATCAATAAAAGTAAATTATTCTCCAAAATAAAATGTTTTGACGTGGTCCAAATATGATTTACTTTTTAATTTTGTTACAAAATATCCAAAATATCCAAAAGGATTCTTTAGAGGTTAGAATTTATCTCTCTTTCTCTTTCTTTCCTTTCCTTTTCTCTCTATGCTGACAATTCTAAAAACTCTGTACATCTTTATGCGAGATATCACTACGTTATACTCACATTTAAATTTATATATATTAGGCGTTGTTATATATACAATGTTAACCGATATTACGGTTACACTCATAACCTACTTATTTTGTTAACACGATAGATCCATTGAACTATATATTACATTCTAATTCAATGGATGGCGCTGAATGACATCTGTGAAGTGAGCAAGTTTTCCGCATAGTGTAGAGTTGTAGAGTGCTATCTTCAAATCATAGTTTCTAATCATCGAGAGATAGCTCAAATTTGCGCATCTTCTTGTATTTTATGAGAAGAACTTGGAAAAACCGCGTCTTCTTCTAAAAAAATATTTTTATTGAAATAAAAACGTATTGATTTATCCCGCTTCTTTTTTTAAATCATTTAATCTTATTCGAAATATACTCAAGAAAAAATACAATCATAGTCCTGCTCATAAAATGGAAGAAAGAAATGATTAAATTTTATAATTTTTTTAAGTATTTGCGTGATTTGTTTCACTTTCTTGTTCTTATTTATATTCTAATATACTTTGATAATTTTTAAATTTTATAAAAATCACAAATGAAGATATTTAAAACAATTCTTGCATCTAAGATAAATTTTTTTTTAATAATATCTTCCTCGAAATTATCAAACTGCTCTGAAAAAGAAATTGGATCTCAACATTTCATTTAATTCTCCAGTTATTCAAATATGTTAAAAATGAAGCAGATATACAGTCCCAGATCAGTCAAAATCAATAATTTGTAAATAATATGTCGTGGATGCTATTTATGTAACTATTGTTTATACTTCCCGGATATATTTAAATAATTACGATTCGCAAAGTATCCCAAGAGATGCGTCATCGGTAATATCATTTACTCGATTACCGAGCACCTCGCCTGTCAAGTTATTTTTCACTCTCGCTGGCAGGTGGCGCCATTCGTCCTCGACGCTCCGCAAGCCGCCGACAATCCGCCCGGACCGCCCGCCGCCGTCTGCTTCTCCGCTTCAGTGTGTTCATTGTAGACGGGGTGATTCGTGCGTGAGGAGGTTGAGGTATCGTCGCACGTTGCATCGAGAGCGTCGCAGGTCGCCGTCCGAGAATAAGCGAGCGGTCAAACGCCGAGGCGTCGCATCGCGTCGCGTCGCCTCCCCGCCGCCGCCGCCGCCGTCGCCGCCGTCGCCGTCGCGAGTCGTGTCGGAACGCGGTGTCTTCCGGAAGAAGAAGCGCATCTGCGAAGACAGGACTCTTCGTTCGCAGCAATCTATCCGCGTTTTTGCAGACGCGGAGTAAACGTTCTGCGTCGGGACGCCGTGGGAGTCGCGTGCGGTTGCCTAAATAATCGTTAGAGCGTCTTTTGGCGTCTTCCCGTCCTGCTCTCTTTCTTCCGTCAAGATGGGGACGATTTGCTACAACATCTCCAAGTACACGCTGGTGATCATGAATCTCGCATTTTTGGTGAGTTTTCACACCCGCTGCGTCTCAATCTGTCAGATCGATACCCGGCCGCCCGGGCGATTTGATTCGTTCCAACTCAATTCCGGAATCGACTCGATTCTGATTGGTTACTCGATTTTTTTTCCCCTTCCCAACCTCGGCCTACGAGTCCGGATATCTCGCGTTCATCTCGCCGCATATATAGAACGCGTGTAAATTCAGAATGAAGATTGTGAAATGTTCTTATTGTTTTCCTCGTGACTCCGCCATTACCGCCGGTGGCCTCTCGGTCGCGCGCTCACGTTTCGATTTGACATTAATTTCACGAGGCGCAATGAACAATTCGAAATTTTAATATTAAGCCCGGCGAACGAGAAGCCTTTGCGATCGTAATCGTCGAGTTTCTTCCGGTAACAATCAGCGATCGCGTGCGAGACGGAAATATCGATGATGCGAGCCGAAAGCGCGGGCCGGACAGCAGCGTCGAGCGCGGATCAAAAAAAGCATAGGAAGCGTGAAAGCATCGTTCGCTCTTATCCAACATTCATCGAATAACAAGGAGATAAGATTACAAGGAGCGTTGCGAGCGTGAAAGTAGACCCCGAGAGATTTTCGGAATAGAGAAAAAACGCGCGGTGATAACGGAATCGGATAAATATCGAAATAACGGCGCGAGCCTTTCGGCCGCTCGCTAAGCGACGTCGCTCGCTTTGTCGACCTCGGAAATCCACAATTTCGAAATCAACTAGTCAACATCGCGCGTTTAAATATAGTTTTAAATATAGTTTCGTAGCTGTCGCTGGAGCGCGTCGAGAGTACATTTCTCCTCCTACGAGCCTCCTACGCGGCCCACGCTACGGCCCAATTTCCTCCCGCCCCCTCTTTTATCCTCTCCGACGGGCGGGTAATAGCGAACAAGAGCCTTCCGAAAGAAGTCGACTGCACTTTAACTTGTCGACTGCATTTGCTGTGTAAGCCGATTCACTTGTCTTGTCGCTTCAGCGATCAGCGCGAAATTGAAAACTGACGCGGAAGATTCATGCGGAATCATTTTAGGATTGTTTTCTGTTCCCGCACATTGTATACTAAAAACTTCCTGTCTCCCTTTTGTCAAACTTCAAATCTATATCTATTTCATTTCAAGTATAATAAATGTATATTACTAGTTCAGCTACAAATCTAGTAAAGAAAATTTTTATACGAGAACACGTATAATGTCTATTTACGTCCTTATATGGAAAATTTCTTATCGGGAAAAAAAACAGGCCCTTTATTTATCTAGATCCATGCGACGACGTCGGAGATTTTGTTGAGATCTCGCTGGGCGATCGGTATTAACTCTGATATTAGTAGGATGAATCCAATCTGATTCATCGGATCGTTTTTAGTTGTTACGCGGTTCTTACATCACGCGGAGTTATAGAGGCTTACTATTCTTGCCGCGCGAATCAAAGATGCAGGAAGTTTCTTCTTTTTCGTTCCAAAGCATACTTACGCGCATTAAATATACACACGATGTGTCTCCGTTGCATTCGAAGAAACGAAAGACGTGCGACACGGAATCGCTCGGATCCTATTTGAAATCTCCTCGGTTTGAAATTTAAATGGAGTTATAGAGATTCAAATTCGAATGGAATCGAGTATGATCCGATTTGAATGGTTCGTGTGTTTGGTTTTCTCTCTTGCTTTCTAAACGCGATAGAATTACTTTATAATTCGAATCAGATCGAAAATTTGATTAAATTTAAGTTTGATCGGATTTGAAAGATTTGCCTCTAACTTTTTTAACACGATAACCCATTTGTATCGGAAAATTCGATTAAATTCGACCCTACAATTTAAATCCGAACTATTTAAAAACTCGAGAAGAATGACAATTTTAAAATATTTCACTACATGCTGAATTTTATTTCACAATAATTATATTAATTCTACGTTATATTTCGACAACTAGATTCAGTTTAATTAGATTTAATTCAATTGATTTGGGTGACATTTAGTCGATTCAGTATAAAAGATTCTTTACACATTTTTTTTTGCAAAAATTATCCAGTGAGCCATAATTTTCGTATTTTTCATCTTCTATATATATTTATATGTCCTCGGTTCTTTTATGTAGAAAAGACCGACGCATATTCTCTTTATTTACTGCAGATTTTGTAGGAGTGAGGAAGACCGTATATATTCGAGAAATCCCCAAGTCTCTCTGCGGATTACTCGCTTCTATCAATATTTAACTCGCATGGTTCTATGGAGAATCGCCATTAATACATATTTCTGTATTCGTTTACATAAGCTAATCGACTAACGCGAGTACTCGGGGATAGCGCTGCTGCTTGGAACATTCGCTTAAGGACGCTTCTATTTTTTTGGGGGGGGAGGGAGGGGGGAGGGGGGCTTTTTAGTCTTACTTATTTTTTTTTCTTCCTCTTTTTAACGTGCGAGCATTAATGTTTGACATCCGGACGAGACGCGCGGCAGGAAACCCCGTGATAATCCACACGCTTAAATGGAAGCCCACATCTGGCGGACAGACCGTTTCATTGTAAATGCCACGTTCTCCTCCCTCGTGCAAACCCTCGTTTGGCTCGTAAAGTGGCTCGTTAGCCTCTCTCTCATCCTGCAACGCTTGAAAACCTGAAAGAATACTCGAAAAATCCCTTTGTATGGGATCCGTCCGATTCCTTGTCCTGCAACTTTGGCACTCGGATAATCCCAAGATTAAGTTGTTAATGAAGCGCAGAATGAATACGAGCACGAACGAATGCGAATAAACATTGACGAATATATCTTGTTTCTCGTCAAGGCGTATGTTGAGGGAAAATTACTGTTAGACCAGTCTGGTATAACATATTTACAACAGTTTTTTTTTTTTTTTTTCAACAAACTTTAGTCACCCGTGTTTGTTCGTCCTGACTTGGTCTGAATCTCAACTCTGTCTCGTATGTCTTTCAGTTGATCGCAGTGACGGTGATAGCCCTGGTAACATGTATGCTGACGGACAAAACGTTCCTGGTATCAATCGCTGAGGAAGGGAATAATTATGAAGCGGGTCTATATATCCTACTAATCACCGGCATCTTCATGGTCATCGTTGCTATCATAGGTTGGTGTAGCGCTCTGCAGAACTCGCGATACTGCCTGGCCACCTTCTTCAGCATCATGCTCGTCATCGTCGTCGCGCAAATCGCCTTCGCAGGCTGGCTCTATGCTCATAGAGACCGTCTGGACGAACTGGTGCGGATTTCCGTGATAAGCACCGTTAAGGTAAGTCTCCTTTTAATTGTGAAACGTCTATGCAACTTTAACACATGCTTTTCAATGTCATTTGAGTGAGAATTTTATGCTATGGAAATAATTCTCTTTCATTATTTTTGTAGAACGAATACGGCGAGATACAATGTCGCACACAAATCATGGACTCGGTTCAATCCAGCCTAGAATGTTGCGGAGCCACTGGACCAGCGGACTGGGCCGGTAGCAAATATTCGACCAAGGATGTCTCTCGATCCCTCAGTTTGACTGTCTCGAGCAATCCTGATAATATGTATAAAGTGCCACTGTCCTGCTGCAAAAATGTCAACAGCACTGACTGCAGGGAAGGTCGCAATATGAAGATTGCTGGAGTCGTGAGTCCTGGGATTTATAGTGAGGTATAACGCCTGTTTTTATATTACTTTAATTAATAATTCGATTTATCTTAATCATGTACACTTTATTCTTGTTGTATTAAATGTAAAATATACTAAGTTGTATTAAATGTAAATATACAAAAATTTTATTATAGGGATGTACGGAAAAATTGGTAGCTACACTGAAGAGTCAAATGTATCATTTTATGGGTATAGCAATATTGGTCTTGACTTTAGAAATCATTAGTCTGATATTAGCTTTAATTTGCTGTTGCAAAGACGGATCGTCCAATAGACACAAAGCTTAAACTGGTTTATCGCATATATCATGTAGGAATTTTTCCTTCGCTGAACGTCCCACAATAACAGAGTAATATCGAAAATAATCGAAATTTGTTTTTATGCTAATGCCAGTGGATATTTGACGAATTGTGTCTTATGTTTGATCACGTAGGATGATCGAAATATTTTTTTCATTGTCAGAAAACATGTTTAATAAGTAACCCTTTTTTAGGGTGTATTATTATTCTGTGTGAATTGGTATGCCTTATTTTGGGACCAATTCTAGATCCTGACCTGTATAATAACACCATTTCATTATTTTTATGTCTTTATAAATAATTCGATATCTCTCTTTTTAATGTATACAAGATTTGTGTATTTTACAAAATTAACTTTTATAGTTTATATGCATAAATAACTCGTACTTGCGAGAGTAATAAATTTAATTTTTTTGATTAATTTATCTTAAAAAGGTACAAAGATATGACAGGTATTTTAAACTGAAATATATAGTTATATGAAATTTTTATTGACATGCATATATAAATCTCAAAGGAAGATTATATCTTTTTACAAATAATGAGGCTATTGAATAGGAAACGTAAATCAATAATTATGAAATATTTGCATCAATTTGAGTATACATGTGTGACTTACATTGATACGGATATTATTATATACATATAAGATACATGTAATATGTATGTATAAGCCTTCCAAGATTTAAAATCAACAGCAGGACTGTAGAAAGAAGTCTGATTAGATAAATGCTTCGAAAATAATTTTAAATGCACTCTGACTCCATGCAGATTTTATTGATTTTACATTGTTGTTAAATAATATTTTACACGATTTTTTTTCGCAATATTGTTGAAATCAACTTGTCTATATTTATACCTGCATATCTTATATGGCAATATAATATATTGAAGAAGAATCTTGATGATTTGACAGGTATAGAAGAGAATAGATGCGAATTTATATAATATACATTTACATTCGATTTTTCTGATTACTGCCAAATGCTCTTCTATAAATATACATAATATATATATATATATATATATATATATATATATATATATATATATATATATATATATATATATATATATAATATATATATATATA